CAGAAAAGAATCACCATTCTAAATTTGGAGTGTGGGGGGGTCAGAGATGTGAAAAGGCAAGGGACTGCTATTGGCCCAGAAGTGTTAGTTGGGTCATACAGATGTGGGGGGGCAGTAATGACTCAACCAGTGGAAAGTGGGGACCTCATGGAGGTAAAGCTGGGAGTCCACAGTGCCAAACGTCATGAGAACTTGAACTAGCAAAACATTACAGCCCAAGTTTTCTAGTCCTGGACAGTCTAGAAACTCATAGCCTTCACCTCAGAACAGGTAGTCCTAGCTGGTGTACCTTCGGGCTGAGGGAAAAGTGAATGCAGATTTTTTTCATGAGGAAGATACCTTCGATCTGAGCATCAAACTATTCTTAGAAATAATTTGTCAAGTACAATATCCCGTACAAAGACAACTAGCTACAAAAGATACCATGATTAATCCGGGAACCAGTAGAGACAGTATAAACCTGCACATACTTCAGATACAGGAACTGTCAGTACTGTACTGTGTTTAAAGAAAAAAAAAAGCTTGAGAATCTCTTCAGAGAACAGAAAGTATAAAAAGTGATTTAGAGGGCCAGCAGGTGGTGGTGTGGTGGTTAGGGTGTTGGATCCCCCACATGGCTGACCATGATTCAAGTCCTAGACTCAGTGGCTTGAAAATAACTCCAGGCGTGTGTATGTGTGCATGTGTGCCCAAAATCTTTAGAGGAGAATGGAGAAGAAGGGAATGCAACACGGTCATCCCTCCTGGGGTTGATTTCTCATTTTCCCTGTCTATCTCTTTCTCTCCCTGGCAGGCTCATGCACCCTATAGCAAAAACCTTAAGAAAAAAAAAAAAGAAAAAAGAAACGAGTGATTTTTGAACTTTAATTGAATCAAATTAAAAAAAGTAACCAAAATGAAAAACTCAATATTTGCTTATAATAAACAATTTGACAGTTAATAATTAGACAAAGCTAGAGAGAGAATTGGTGAATTGATGAATCTAAAGAAATTATTTGGAACAATACAGAAATAAAAAGATGAAAGTACATAGAGAGTTGGAGACCCAGAGACTGCAGCAGAAACTTCTGATGTGTTTAGTCATAGTACAGAAGGGGGACATAGAATAGAGAGAGCATACAGAGAAGGATGGAGAGAGGTTTTGTTTTTTTTTTTTTCTTCTTCAAGTGATTTTTGCTATAGGGTGTGTGCGCTCACCAGAAAGACAGAGATAGAAAGTGAGAAATCACCCCTTAGAGGGGATGGCCACGCCGCAATCCCTTCTCCATTCTCCTCTCAGGATCTTGGGCACACACGCACATGTGCCTGATGTGAGTTTAAGCCACCAGGTCTGGGACTTGAACCATGGTCAACTACATGGGAGTCCAGTGACATAGCCATTACGCCAACTGCTGTTCCCTGGAGAGATTTTTAGAACTAATGAAAGTCACCAATTCAGAATCCTAAACAGATTAAATAAAAATAAACCTACAGGGTTCAAAAAAGTTAGCGTAATGGCTATGTCGCTGGACTCCTGTGTAGTCGACCATGGTTCAAGTCCCGGACCTGGTGGCTTAAAACTTATGCCAGGTGCGTGTGCATGTGGGCTCAAGATCCCAAGAGGAGAATGGAGGAGAAGGGATTGCGGTGTGGCCATTCCCCCTAGGGGGTGATTTCTCGCTTTCTCTCTGTCTCTCTCTGTCTGTCTGGCAAGCACACACGCCCTATAGCAAAAACCTCTCCAAAAATAAAAATAAAAATAAGCCTACATAAGATTTTCACATGGTGAAACTGAAGAAAATAGAGAAAGAAAAATCTCAGGAGCAGCTAGAAGAAAACTACTTCCAAAGGAACAGTAAATAACCCTACCACTAACTACTTAGTAGCTGTTGAAGCCAAAAATTAGTAGAAAGTGTTGATAGAAAATAAGCCAACCAGAATCGTAGATCTTTGCAGTCCCATACGTAGCAACTAGTGCATGTAGCTGTTTAAATTAAATAAAATTTTAGAATTGGTTCCTGGGGCCAGCAGGTGGCATGGTGCTTAAGGCACTGTACTTCCACTTGGACAATCACAGTTCTAGTCCTGGATCTGGAGGCTAGCTTTCTCACTTTCTCTCTCTCTTTCTCTGTCTCTCTCTGGTGAGTACATGTGCCCTATAGCAAAATTTAAAAATAAAATGGGGCCAGCAGATAGAATAGTGAGTGGTTAAGGTGCTATATTCCCACATGGCTGACCATGGTTCGAGTCCTGGACCCAGCAGCTTGAAACTCATGCCAAGTACAAGTGTGTGCGTGCCCAAAATCCTGAGAGGAGAAGGGATTGTGGCGCAGCCATCCCCCACAGGGGGCGATTTCTCACATTCTCTGTGTCTCTGGCAAGAGCATGTGCCCTATAGCAAAAATCTCTCTTAAAAAAAATTAATAATAAATTAGGGCTAGTAGATGGTGTAATAGACTCTCATGTAGTCAACCACAGACTCCCAAGTCTGTGATTCAAGTCCCAGACCTGGCAGCTTAAACCTCACACCAGGCGCGTGTGCGTGTGTGCTCAAGATCCCGAGAGGAGAATGGAGGAGAAGGGATTGCAGCATGGCCTTCCCCTTGGGGGTGATTTCTTGCTTTCTGTCTCTCTATATCTGTCTCTCTGGTGAGTGCAAGCACTCCATAGCAAACATCTCTCTTAAAAAAATGATAATAAATAAAATTAAATAATTCTTTAAACAAGGCAAAAAAAGAAATAGCTCCTTCGTTATACTGGCTACTTCAGCACTTGGTGGCCACAGTGGCTGGTGGCAGCTATTAGATAACACAGACATAGAACATTCTTATATAGCTATAGTCAGTTTTGAACAAAATTAACTGTAGAAAAAGTGTTATAAAAGATTTTTAAGGGAACTAGCAGTTAGCATAATGGCTATGTTGCTGGACTCCCACGTAGTCGACTGTGATTTGCGTCCCGGACCCGGTGGCTTAAAACTCAGGCCGGGCACATGTGCGTGTGTGCCCAAGATCCTGAGAGGAGAATGGAGGAGAAGGGATTGCGGCATGACCATCCCCCCTAGGGGGTGATTTCTCGCTTTCTGTCTCTCTCTCTCTGTCTGGCAAGCGCACGCACGCTATAGCGAAAACCTCTCCCCCAAAAAATTAAAAATTAAAAAAAAGATTTTTAAAAATTGCTACATAATGATAGACAGTTTAATTAACCATGAAGGTATACAAATTTAAAAATGTATGCATCTGACAATGTAGCTGCAAAATATGTAAAGTGAAAAGTAGCATAACTGAAAAGTATTGAATAGAAATGCATGAAGTGGTAGATTTTAACATACCTTCATCAGTAATTTCTAGATCAGGCATAGACTTGCTAAATGAGCAAAGAACAATATCCCTTTCATTGCTGTTATACACTCTGGTGATGTCCCTGGCTTGCCTTTTATTCCTTGCTCTTTTGATGAGCATTCAGGATAGCGCAGCTTGGTTATTCATGGCTGGGCCAAAGAGGTGCGTCCCTGTGCTGAATATGTCTTTGTTCTGTATGGCTCAGGCTGTGGAGTCTATCCAGGCGGAAGATGAGAGCGCCAAGCTGTGTAAGCGCAGAATTGAGCACCTAAAGGAGCACAGCAGTGACCAGCCTGCAGCAGCCAGCATGTGGAAGAGGAAGCGCATGGACCGCATGATGGTGGAGCACCTGCTGCGCTGTGGCTACTATAACACCGTCGTGAAGCTGGCGCGTCAGAGCGGCATTGAGGTGCGCTAGGGCCCGTGACCATTTTTGGTCCCAGGTGGTTAGAAGCAAGGAAAACTCTTGAGTAGCATCCGTGTCCGCAGTTTCATCCTCAATGTGTATATTTTCCATGTGGCTGCATTCTACTAGCCATTCCTCGTTGAACTGCAAAGTTGTAAGCCCTTCAGGTAATGTCTGTTTTTAGCTGTTTGAACTAAGGAAGCCAGTGTCTGAAAATAAAGACTGCATAGATGGGGAACCAGCAGTTAGTGTAATGGCTATGTCACTGGACTCCCACATAGTCGACTGCGGTTCGCGTCCTGGACCCAGTGGCGCGTGTGCGTGCATGCCCAAGATCCCGAGAGGAGAATGGAGGAGAAGGGGTTGTGGCGTGACCATCCCCCCTGGGGGGTGATTTCTCGCTTTCTGTCTCTATGTCTCTCTCTGTCTGGCGAGCGCACGCGCCATATAGCAAAAATCTCTCCAAAAAAAAAAAAAAAGACTGCATAAATGCTTCTCATTTGCCTTCAGTAGTTTAAACGTGATTGGATTAGGAAAATTAGAAATTTTTCTCACCTGATGTCTATCTATTTTTTCCATAGGGGACTTCAGAAAGTTTGTGGAAAAATAGAATTAAAGTTTGAGTTTATTTTGGTACAAAAATTTGAAATCTATGCATTATTTCTTTACAATAAACATTTCCCATGAACTTTTTGAATATTCCACATACATGCTTAGTTGTGCTGTCATTGTTTGATTGCTGTGAGAGCTTTGGATTTATCTGAAGTAATACATATTTTCAATGAGTCTGTTTTTAGTGGCACCAACGTCACTGGGATAGAAGTAAATGACACTCTTGCCTTCAGTGCATGTTCAGGCTAAAAGCATCTGAAAGGATGTTTGATGGTGGTGAAGGTCAGTTTCCTTCATCTAGTTAAAGGAAGGTTGAACCAAAAAATCACTTTTAAAAGGCTTACCCTGGTGCTCTGTAAAGAACAATATTCAGGGACAAGAGGACACTGAGGGGGCTTCCAGGAAGTTGCTGCTATAATCCAGATGGAAGCTGCTAGAGTGTGGCTGGGATGGCCGTCCTGTAAAGGCTTGCTGTGACCTTTCCATGTTCGACTCTCAGGTTCACATCCATGAACAAAAATGTGAGATCTGGAATGGGGTGAAGTCTCGGACAGGACAGAAAGTCTGCTATCAAGAAAGGGCATTGTGAAGAGTGGGGGCTGCATGCTACCCGCAGCACCAGCAGGCTTGGAGTTGGAGGGTATTCTGCAGTTGTGACCAATGTCTCATGCATCCCAACTGCCTCATCTTAGAAGTCAGTATTCCATTTCATGTGAGACAAAAACCTGATACTTCTAGAATGATTTTCTCTTTCTGCTTGTATGGTCCTCATTGGCTTGTCCTAGCTTAATATCTTTACCATGACTTGCAAAGCCAAGGATCTGTGGACATCACAGAAACTATCAGCAAGAGAAAGAAAGATCCAGAAAGGTCTGGACACCAAAGCAGTGCAGATGGAAGACATGCTAGTGGACTGTGACATTGGACAGGAGGAAGACCAGGAGTTAACCTTCTGGAATTTAGAGCAAAACTGAAAAACAAAGGTGGAAAATAGAGAAAACAAGACCTGAAACTTTGGAGGTTCCAGAAGAGAAAATAAGAAAATAGAGGGAGAAAATTATCCAAAAACATGATAGAAGAAAATAATCAGCCTAGGAACCGAGATACTGTTCCTTATCCCCATTTGTTAAGTGGGGAAACTGAGCTGCACAGAATGTCCTCTACATCTAGTTGTGGTGGCAGTGGTCACACACAGCATTTGCTTGTCAAACTCACCTGACTCTGCACTTTAAGAGAATAAAGTGAAGGGAAGGAACAACACTAAGACTAGAAGGATTAAGAAATGTGCCCAAATGGTATAGCCTGGAAGTGTTAGGGCTTAGGCCCAATTGGCCAGTTCTGGAACTTGGGTGCAGTTCCAGTCTGGCCCTGTCTGGCATGTGTCCTACCCTAGCCTGCAGTAGCAACCCCAGGGTCCACTGCGTAAGGGCAGAGCTGGTCTGTGACTTCACACCCTCCAACACACCAGCCAGCAGCTTTCCCTGATCTGGCTCTTCCCTTCCTTGAGCCTGGTGCTCATAACATGCCAGTAGTGATCTGGCCAGCCTTACCTTGAATGGCTACAAGTCACAGGAAAGAGTTCAGGTTGTCAGATGTGTGAGTTTGGGGACACTGCCTTTAGTCTCACTGTCCCTCTTTGGCTCCTGAGGACAGTTCGGATGCCTCCCACTCACTGCCCTTGATGCTGTCTCTGGTGGCTAGAGCACACGGCACAGGGTTCACTCAAGAACTTATGGGATGCCTTGTGTCACATGTCATACTCATAATTGAGAAACTGATTTTTGTTAATGTGTTTTTGCTCAAGTTTATCCCAGATAGAAAAATTTCATTTTCTTTAACTAGCTTCCTTTCACATGGCATCCAACCATCTCCTCTCACTGTCTTGGTGACTTTTGACTGGGATGGTTAAGCGTGTTGGTCTTACCTAGGACTTCTGCTATTTGGGGGTTGCTGCCCTGCATGAATCTTCCAGAGCTCAGCAGTTGGCTATCATTTGTTCTACCTTCCCAGAGAGTTCAGATAGGCGTGGAGGGAAGCCTTGCATCCAGCTCTTCTGTTCCTTTTCTTGAATACCAAATTTAAAGAAAAAGCAGAGAATGAGCGTGTGGATACCTGGGCTTTCCAGGACCTTCTACCTCAGGGCTTCTCAAGACCTGGGCTTTCCAGGACCTTCCACCTCAGGGCTTCTCAATGTTCATTTTGGGGCTCTCATCTCTCATCTGTGCTTAAGAGGTTGGTCCACGTGCAGGGCAGCTGCCCTCAGCACTGAGTTGCTGGCTTGACCTTGTATGAACTTCCCTCATCCCATGGTGAGCTGTCACAGGGGGGTGGGCGCTTGGGTGCTCATTTATGACCTTGCTAGGATTGTGCAGAGAAACTCCCACTAGGCCTCTCTGAGTAGTACTGTGTCCTGATGCAGCCATCCTGTTAGCCGTGGGTCCCATCCCTAGCCACAGGGCCTTAGGCTACTGGAGACAAAATCCTCTGGTTGGGGCTATGAGATTTGCAGGCAGGGTTGTTGGGGAGGAGCTGCTGGATGTGCTGGAGTAGGGGTGGGGACTAGTTGGCTACCTTGGAAGGGGAGGGTGTGGACTGGTCACCATATGGCCTTGACATGAAAGCACTTTTGTCCCCACTGGTCTGTCTCTTGGCTTCCCTGACCAGCATGTGGCTGCTATCCACCTGAATTTTAAACTCTGGCTCAGTGAGCTGGCCTTGCAGGTCCTGCAGGCGTGGACTAAAGGTGTACTGTGAGAGGTGGCCAGTGCTGGCACCAGGCCTGTCCTTGAGCCAACCCTTATACAGGCTCATGAAGAGGGTCCCTGCATCTGAGAGGTCTGATCCAGAGCTGCCTATTTCCTCCAAGGACCTAGTGAATATCGAGATGTTCCTCACTGCCAAAGAAGTGGAGGAGTCCCTGGAGAGGCGTGAGACAGCCACCTGCCTGGCCTGGTGCCATGACAACAAGTCCCGGCTCCGGAAGATGAAGGTGCGAGGGGTTCTCCTGGGGGTGGAATGGAGCTCCCTTGGGTGCAGAGTGGCATGGACACACAGCTACCTGCCCAGGAATCAATGTGCCCTTACCTGTTGGTTTGTGGTCATTTGTTTTTGGCATGTGCCAGGGGTGGGGGCCATTGTTGTGTTTGGCATGGGTTTGGGATTTTTTTGGTGGTGTGGTATTCTGCTTTTTGGTAGAAACCTTGGAAAGCACACCTCCTTCTACATTATGTTTGAACAAGTGTTCCTGCTGCAAGGTTCAGGAGTGGAATGTGGAGGCTGACCACATGTGCAGTGTGTTAGCTGCTGGGCTTGGAGTTGAGAGACCAGTCCATATGGCGGCCTCACAGACAGGAGGAAGCTGGTCGGGAAGTCTTACTGAATACACAGTTTTCAAGAGACCAGATTGTTCAAAAAAAAATAGACTCTTAAATATGACCTATAGAACTTAAACCTGCCCACGGAAAGATGTCACCCTAGGGCTTGCAGAAATGTTTTAACTTCTATTAACCAACCCCCTGCATCCACTAGAAAAACTGTTTGTCTTCTGTTTTCTAAACTGAGCGCTTCTTTAACTCCACCCCATTTGAGCTTGTCGGGGTGCACCTAGTCACCAGCCGAGAGTGACGCTCTCTGCCACTCAGGGCCGCCAAAACGAGCACGAAGTGAAGACGGGACGAAAAAGTAGAGCGGCCAGTGGCTCCCCTAAGGAGAGTGAGGATCTTGGTATGGAAACCATAAAAGGAAAGCCAGAATTGGTATGTAACACTCGTCACCACCCCACACAGCTCCAACCCCTACACTCCCTCCCAGAGAGCCGGGGATGCGCCTCCCCAGAGGGATCTCTGCTTGAGGGTCCTTTGTATGTGAATGTCAGAGTGGAACATAGGCTTTCTTGACAGGTTATTTCTGCAAGCCCTAATTACCTGCCAGGCAGTGCTGCTGATGGGGTCTTGTGAGGCTTGCTTCCATGTCTGAAACCCCAGGGTCGTGTCTGAAGCTACCATGGGGGCAGTCCTGGACAGTGAGTGTTGCTTCAGCGTTTAAAGAAGTCAGGATTGAATGGAACATAAACAGCTATCCAGAATGTAAGAATGGAAGAATACCTAATGGCATGAAAACATGCCTATTGCGAAATGTCACCTGAACAAAATCAGACATGCAGATATCTATACAGTTTGTATATGTTTGTGTACATGCACATATACATGGCTAGCACGCTTATATCAGGGTTGGGAAGAGCCTGGGAGGAGCGGCACTAGGTACTGATTGGGGGCCTTCTGAGCAGAGTCATGAGACTTTAGATGGGAAAAGAAACTTCTGAGATTTGAATTTCATTCCATTAGAAAGTAACTTGTAAAATAATGGGGTGCCAAGTTAATATCTTTCTAATTGCTCAGGTCTCTAGACTCTGAAGGACAACTGAAGCAGCAGTTTGAATGCTGTGTGTCTGTAGGAAAGTCACATGGTATTGTTCCAACTTTGTCCGGAAGAGTATACAATGTACTGGATGTTCCACACTTGGTGTGATTGTTTAGGCTTGCAAGAGAAGACTTCAAAAAATATGAAGAGATGGAATTAAAGTATAAGTGGTGCAAAAATATTGTGAAATCCATGCATAGTTTTTTCATAATACACATTTTCCATAATCTTTTGAAGATCCCTGGTATTTATTTGAGTCTGAATTACATAGGCACTTACTCATTTGAAAGTTCAGCTACTAGAGCAAAGAGCTGTCATAAATAATTTAAAACAATTAAAAACAAGCTTTAAAATGTTTTGAAAAGTAATAACGGAATTTACCTCAGATGCTGCTCTTTTAGAAGATCTGCACAGTAGCTCCTTCCTGGTTTTAGAAAGAGTCTACTGGGCCCACTGACTCTAGAGGCAAAGTTTATTGTGTGGGCTCCACAAGGAGGCAGGCAGGGCCAGGGCCTTAGGAGGATGGGCCTCTGTGGGGCCTCAGCACATGAAGCTAAAGCCTCTTCCTGCTGGTCTGGCCTTATTGGAAGCAGAGACTAACCAGTGTCGGACTGCTAATTAGTGGAATAAGGACTCAGATGGAGCTGGGCCAGGCCCTTCCCAGGGAGCCCCATTGGTGACTTCTTTGCTGGTTTGTACCAACCCTGTCATTCATCACACTCCCAAGCCTGCTCTTGGGAGTTAGAGACACATTTCTGTCCCAGCTTGGATGGGCCTGCAAATTCTGCCACTGGCTTGTTTGCTTGTCTGCCTGGGTGCAGTGGGTGGGCTAAGAGCGTGTATGTGTAGGGTGGGCAGAGGGGGCAGGGACGTGGGAGAGGTGGGGGCAGGGAAACCCTCCACCCATGGTCTTGTCTTTGCTCTGAGCACTTATGTATAGATGTGTCCCAAGTTGTTTCCTGGAAGGTAAGTGGCTCTCTGATGCCCTGACTGGCCCTGGGGTCTGGGAAGCATAGTCCATTGTCGCTTCCACTTGGAGTTGCTACTATAAGTGCTCTCTTATTGCCCTTACTGCTGGCAGGTGGTGAGGGTCTTCCCAGGGGACAGGCTGAGCCCATCACTCAGGTACCAGTGTGCACACAGTGGAAGCCCAAAAGGAAAGTCCATGTTATTGGGGAACTTCAAAACTGGGTTTTAGACATTTAGAGTTGGTTGATCACGTGCCATGTGGAATTTTTCTTCAGCTCTGCCTGTGGTCTAGATACCGTGGGACTCTGGGCAAGGCTTACAGAGACTTAATACCTCTACTGTGGTAGAAAGTTTTGAGTAAGCTCTGAAACAACATCAGACATCTTTAAGGTTCAAATTACTACAGTATAAAGTCATCTAACTTTTGATTTTAGGTTATGTAAGTGAACTTTGCCTGTTTGCCCTCCCCCCGCCCCAGCCACAGGTTTCATCCCAAATTAGACTCATCTTGCTAAGATTTCAAACTTAGTGTTTGGGCTTAAACACAGGCTGCCCGCCATGTAGTAGTCCCTCAGAGTCATGCGCACAGCTTTTTTTAAACATACACAACAGACCCATTGCTAGACTTGGTCCTGCCGAACCATCACCCCTGAACTACACGGCTTTCCCCATCTCCAGGCATAGTGCCCTCTTAGCAGTTCCAGCCCCAGACCCCTCTCAGTGCCTCAGTGAACCCCGGAATGCTTCCACACTGGTCTTTGTTCCTGCCTGGAATGTTCCCCCAGGCCTCTCTTTTCAACTCCTGCTTACCCTTAAGTCTTTGCTCAAGTGTTGACTGCTCAGCAAGACCTGAGTCCTCACTGGCTCTACATTCTCCCCTCTACATAATGCTTGCAGCCCACCAGCCCCTACACCTTAGGGCCGTGATTTGTCTGAGTTCTCCGAGAATAGCCAAGGGCAGTCCAAAGGCAGTCCCAGTTTACCCTAGGGGAACAGACAGGAAGTGCTACAGGTTCTGAGTCCCAGCAGGACTCATGGAGGGGAAATACACTTCGGTGAAGACTTTGAGGGAGTATTGCCGTGCACTGAAGACTTGGATAATAGAATAGAACCCATAACACCTTTGTCTTTGTAAAGGAATTGGCATCTTTTCTTCAGTAGTCACTTGTTTTACTCCATTGCATCCAGTGGACTAGACACAGCTCCTGGCAGCCTCATAGTGGCTCCTGGCGGCTGCTAACCTCGATGATTCCTTTTCACGAGCTTCCCTGGTAGACCACACGGTGGTTGTACCTGCCGCTGCTAGTGTCCCTCAGGGCCTGAGCTCCTGGCTGCATCCTCAGTGCCAGTGACCCTCAGGTTAAAATGCTGGGCTACTACACCCCATCATGGCTGTATTAGGAGTGGCTGGGCTTACTTGCAGAACTAAGTTGATCAACCAGGAAGTATTTGCTGCAGGTTGAGAGAGCAGTGTTGGTTTCAAACCTGCCTTCTTGGTGACCATCCAAAGGGCTCTGAGCTTTGTAGAGGGGGTCTGCCTACAGATGTGTAAGTCTGACGCCCAGGTGCCTGGGTGGTGCCATGATGGGTCACAGCGTGGACATGCCATCTAAGCCCTCATCTTGTGTTTGCCTTCAGAGCTGCCTGGAGTTCAGCCTAAGGATTCAGGAGTTCATTGAACTCATCCGGCAGAATAAGAGACTGGACGCCGTGAGGTAGGACATTGCGATACACACGTGATTTCCCACAGGACGGCAGGACACTCGGTGTGGCTTCCTCCTTGCTCCATCCCCTCATGGTCTGAGCCCTGGGAAAAGAAGCATGGGTGTCTGATGGATCTTCCAGTCTGACTAGCCCTGCCCAGGAGGGTCCTCTACCAATGTATGGCCACGGGTGGGAGTCCAGACCCCCATGACTACCAGGTGAGCCAACCTTGGCATCACTCGTCCATGTAGAATGTAGGCACATAGAGTTCCAGGCCCCTCTGTTCAGGTGGGAAAGTACCGTCAGCTCTGCATATCTCAGGAGCATCCCTGCCATTGGGCTTCAGGTTCAAGAGTTCTTGGTTTGAGGAATTCCATTGTGGTTATCTCAGAGAATGTTAAAGGCACACAGAGTACCAAGGGGCAGTGCTGGGCTTGGGGCAGGCGCAGGACATTATGGCTCCGTGCAGTGCCCTGGCATCAGACACGAGGACAACATGCTGCCCATTGAACCTGGTCAGCCTCATTTGGATGCACTGGCCACAAAGTAAGGGAGGCCATGTCCCAGTTTCCCATTCATCCTCCAAACTGGCCGCTGACAGCCAACAGCTTTGTGAAGCCCTGCCCCCGCCCGCCTTTGTGTCTAGCCTGGCAGTATCAAGTAGTTTGTCCTTGCATCTGGTACAGACAGAGTGACTTGGTAGCAGAGTGGCTGCTTGAGTGCAGTGTCTGCTGAGAGATTTGCTGAAGTTCCTGCCTCGCTACACCTTGTGCTCTGTGCACAGGAAGGCAGCACCTGGGCATATGGCCACAGTGGGGCCTTTGAGGTGTGAGCTGCTCCTTGAGGTGTGGCACAGCACGGCCAAGGGGTCCTGTGCAGTGTGTGATAACAGGAGCCTCCCAGCAGCAGGCACAGGTTTGCCAGGAGGTGGTGCCAACCCCTGTGACTCTTTTGATAGCTGGAGCCATCCTCCTGTAGTAGATTGGCGAGACAACTTTTAAGTCACCCCACCGACAGCACCACATATTAGTCAGAAGGACTCTGAGATCAATGCTGAGCACCATACGGAAGAACGAGAAGCGTGTAAAGGCAAAGCTGTAGCAAGTGTCTGTGGTCAAATCAGCAGGGCTCCCTGGCAGCACCCGGAGAGGCCTGAGGGTGCTGCCGTGGTTCCAGATGTGTCAGAAGGTAGTGCCTTGTCTTTACGTCTTTATTCACATACCTTCTGGGAGCTAGGCCCATTGAAGGATAGACCTGTCCCTTGCAGAGCTGTAGCCCCTTTGCAGGCATAAAGAGCTGGAAAGGTCTATGGGCCTGGCACAGTTGAGGGTAGGGTACCGTGTGTGCTGGGGGTATAGCTCTGCAGTACTCACATGCTCCAGGCACAATTGATGACACTTGTCTCTGGGAGAGAAACTCTCACTTTCACCCTCCCTGGTCTCTTTCAGCAAGGCCTTGCCTTTAGTCCCTGAAGACCTTGGCCATGAAGCCAACCCCAACATTTGAGAACAGTGCTGCTGAAGACAGCAGAGTCCCTCTCTTTGCAACTGTCCTCATCTCACAGCCTCTTCCTCTGCATGGGGACTGTTATAAGAGCATTGTCCCCGATGGTGGTGGAATCTTCCCTGGGACTTCTCAGAGACAGGCTGGCAGTAGGGCAGTGATGTCGCATGTAGTGCTTCCACTACATGACTGTTGGAGACAGCGGCCCCACCTCTACCTTATGAGGCTCATCGTGGCAAGGGAGCAGGTGGGTCACACTCAGGCAGACCACAGACCCCACCAGGGGGAGCCTTTCAAGCAGTATGTGTTTGTTCTCTTCCCAAGGCTGCCATTTATTGCCACAAAGCCTTACCCCACTCCATCCAGGCCAGTGGCATCCCTGCTGCCATGTGGGATGGGCATGGCTTGGACTTTGTCATCGCCTGGGACTAGGGGCAGGGACTTGGTCAGGGAGGCCTGGCTTTGGCCACCTCAGGGGTGAGACCTTGGACCAGGTGTCAGGAGACCCAGATATCTGTGAGCACTGATGAGCTCCGTGCTTATTTGATGTGCCAGGTGGCTCTGGCTACGACATGAGAAGTGTCCATGGTAGATTTGGGGGACAGTCAAGATATGTAAGAGTGGGCAAAGCAAGGTGTCATCGCTTTCAGACTTTTTTCATTGAAGTCTAAAACCATACACTGAAGTATATAGCAGTATTGAGTGATTTTTAAATTTGTTTAGATTCCTTTCATTTTCTTATTATGAATAAGTATAAGAAAAATAATAAAGCTATTTCCATGTTGTGGGAGGCAAACTGAAGTCACAAATAGAACCTGGCCAGAGGCGCTCTGCCAAGTACCAGTGCTCAACCCAGACTTGAGCAGTCGGACAGGCTTACTGAAAAAGGTGAGATCTAGGTGAAGTTTGGAGTTTTGTGTTGAGACTGAACCAAGACTTTGGTGGGAGAGGTGCAGAGTGCTGACTTTTGGCTAAGAGATGCAGCAGGAGCCAGGTAGGGCTGAAGCGAAGGAAAGAAGGTCTTGACATCTAGAATCATCCTTTAGAGGAGGTGCTTGGGAGCCCTGCTGGGGCTGGCAAGTGAGAGGCATTGACAGAGCCAGAGGTGGGCTGTAGGGTGCCAGGTTTCTAGCTGGGAACAAAAAAGATGGTGCATATTGATGAGGTATTGAGTCTTGGGTGGGCTCTGGACTGGGCCTCATTTGCCAGATCAGCAAGTGGAATGCTCTGCTACTAGGCATAGTGGGCAGGGTCTCAGATCCAACACATACCTCTCAGTTTACAGGCTTGGGCCCACACCAGAACTACCTCACCATGGAGCAAAGAGGGTGGGTGGGCAGTCTGCCATCTGGCCTCCTGTGCCTGTTGGTCAGTGTGCTGGACCAGGCAGGGGACCTCGGCTTGCCAGGGCTGTAGCTCCACCCTATCTTGGGTGTCTCAGGGTTTGGAGAATGTGAGAAAATAATTGGTTTTTAGTGAGTAAGCCAAATGCCTGACTCTTGGTGCCTGGGACATGCTGTGTACTTCAGGACCTTTCATGTGAAGGTGGGACTGTGCTGTGTTGAGCAGATGCCTCACGCTTCAGCCTGGCCTCATGTAGTTTAGTTATGAGTGGTCTTCAAAAGTTCATAGAAAATGCATATTATGAAAAAGCTATGCATGCATTTCAAACTTTTTTGTATCAAAATAAACTCATACTAATGTGTTGTCATCACCAAGACTTTTTTTTTCCCTAACTGCCTGAGGACACATGTGCTTACCAGAGAGAAACAGAAAAAACAGAGAAGGAAAAGTAACCTCTTCCCCAACCCCAAGGGCCATGGTCTCCATCCCATCAGGATTTTGGGGATACACACACACACACACACACACCTGGTGTGTTTCCCAGGCTTTCTCAATCACTAGGCTATGAGGCCCCTTCTTATATCATGTCTGAACAAAATATAGTTTGAGACGCTAAGAAGGAAAGCAGGCTAAGACATCAGTTTGAAAAGAGCTCCTACCAAAACAACATAAATTCTGATAAAATTGTAGAGCAAACATTTGTGATGAAGCAAGGGTAGAAGAATGGTGCAGTCATTGGCGGTTTGTGAAAAGTATTCGGGACAGTGCTCCAGAAAGAGCAGGTTACGGGGCTAGACTGTGGCTCAGCAGTGAAACGTGACGATGCTCTGCAAGGCTGAGCCAGGTGGGAAGGTTCTGGTTTTGTGTCTGGGGACCTCCTTGAGTATGCCAGGCATGTGCGTGTCCAGGATCCAGGGCTGGCTGAGGCTGGGTGCGAAACATGGCATCAGGACCCTCTTGGAGGTCTGTCTCCATTTCTTTCATTTGTGGAAGAAATAAACTTTTTAAAAAGTCATTAAAAAATAAAAATAATCATTAATTTACAATGGATAAGAAAGCGTAAGATGATATTCAAGTTGATACCCATAGCAGCCAACCATCCACATCAGTTATCAAGGAAAAAATTAATTTTGGTCATGCCCTAATTGAAGAAGACTGCTGATGAACAACAGAAACAATGGCCAACAGCATCAACATCCCAGTTGGTTTGGTTTACATCATTCTGACTGAAAAATTAAAGTTGAACAAACTTTCAGCTCAGTGGGTACAAAAACTAGCAAGCTTGCTTTATTTATTTATACGTGCATACATGTGTGTATGTTGTAGGGCATGTGTGCTCATCAGAGAGTGACACGTTGGGGTTTGGGAGAAGTGAAAAAGAACCCCCAGTGTGGAAGGCCACACAGCAGCTTCTTCTCCATTCTCCTCTTAGAATTTTGAGCATGTGCACACACATGCCCAGCATGTTTTCCAAGCCACGAGGTCCTGGACTCACACCATGCAGTCGGCCATGTAGGATCTAGCTGCCTTAACCGTCATACCACCAGATGGCCCTATTTTATTTGTTTATTTTTTTTAATTGACAGAGACATATGCACTCTCCAGAGAGAGAAGAAAAGCACCCCCCATTGGGACATGGCCATGCCGCAGTCCTCACTCTTCCATCACCTGATGTGTTCTCCAAGCCAATGAGGCCAGTACTCGAACCACAGTTAGCCATGTGGGATCCAGCTTTCCTTGAACACAGCACTTAACCAGTGGGCTATGGGGCTGGCCCCAGACCAGAACTTTTAGTGGAAATTTCAAAGAAGCAGGATCAAGATCCTGAAGCCTTTCTTCTAAGAATAGCAACAGATGACACACTGCTTTACCAGTGTGACCCAGAAGATAGAGCACCATGGCTGCCAAGAGGTAGAAGTGGATCAGTCAAAGCAAAACAGGGGCCAGCTCCATGGCACAGCAATGAAGAAAACCCAGATCCCACATGGCAACCTTGGTTCAAGTCCCCAGCCTGGCCAGCCAGAAACACGCCAGATACATGAGCTAGTGGGCTGGAGGACTAGAGGGAGGGAACTGTGGTCTGGTCAGACTCTGTGGAGGGTTCTCACCTCTCTCATACACATCTGTGTGCATGTGTGCATGTCCTTGCTCATGAATTTAAAAAAGAAAAAGCAGATTGGTCAAGAGCAAAGGTCATGGCAACAGTGTTTTGGATATTCAAGGCATTTCGTTTGTTGACTTTCTGAAGGACTGAAGAATAACATCTAAAAAAAAAGAGTGTTTTGAGAAAGTTAACTGAAGCTTTAATTGAAAAATGCCCTGGAAAGCTTCACCAGAGTGTTTACACCACAATGTTCCTGTTCATTCCTTTCATCCAACAAGGTCAATTTTGTGAGAATTTTGTTTGTTTGTTTGTTTAGAGAGAGATTTTTGCTATAGGGCATGTGCACTCACCAGAGACAGAGATAGAGACAGAAAGGGATAAATCCCTCCCCAGGGGGGATGGCCATGCTGCAATCCCTTCTGCATTCTCCTCTCAGGATTTTGGGCATGCACGCATATGCACCCAATGTGAGTTTTTTAAGCCACCGTTTTCGGGACAGGATCTGTGATCGACTATGTGGGAGTCCAGCAACGTAACCATTACACCATCTGCTGGCCCCAGTTTCGTGAGGATTTTGATGAGAAATCATTGGGCATTTACCTTACAGTCCTGATTTGGCTCCTTCTGACTTAATTCCTAATTTGGTTTGGATAATGATCTATCCCTAGAGTTCCACGTTCTGGAATTTGGCCTTTGTGGGCAGTGATTGGTTGTCCCCTAGAAAAGTCTCTGTTGGAACTTGATTGCATTGTGAAAGACTTAAGTAAATACACGTCTTTCTTGATGTCCCAGGGTGGGGCCTCTGGGTATGATAATGTTACTAGGATGGAACCACGTGATTGAGTTCTGGTGGGTTTATCTGCTTGAGGGAATGAGATCAGAATGGCAGATGAAGAGCGAACAAGCCGTGTGAATACAGACCACACTCTGCTCTGCCTTGAAAAGTCGTCCACAATTTTGTGATTCCTTTGGTCTTTCCAGCCAGCAGAATTGTGAATCATTAAACCTCTACTTTTGTCTCAGGTATTTCTATGACCAGGCTAAGACGCTAAACTTAAAAAAAAATTTTTCAGGGACCAGCAGTTAGCGTAATGGCTATGTCGCTGGGCTCCCATGTAGTCGACCACGGTTCGAGTCCCGGACCCGGTGGCTTCAACTCATGCCAGGCGTGTGTGCTTGTGTGCCCAAGATCCTGAGGGGAGAATGGAGGAGAAGGGATTGCGGCGTTGCCATCTCCCCTGGGGGGTAATTTCTCTCTTTCTGTCTCTCTGTCTCTCTGTCTTTCTGGTGAGTGCACGCGCCCTATAGGAAAAAACCTCTTAAAAAAAACTTCATCGGGATCAGCAGATGGCATAATGATTACATCGCTGGATTCTCATGTTGTCAACCTGTGGTTGGAGTCCCAGACCTGTGGCTTAAAACTCATGCCGGGCACATGTGCATGCCTGCCAGAGTCCCAAGAGGAGTGTGGAGAAGAAGGGATTGCAGCGTGGCCATCCCTCCTGGGGGGTGATTTCTCGCTTTTTGTTTCTTTGGCGAGCACACATACCTTATAGCAAAAATCTCTCTTAAAAAAAAAAAACAAAACTTCAAAGGCAACCCATTTTTCTTCTGTTAATAATGTGAAAAAGACTGTATTGACATAAATTCCCAGTCCCCTTGGTTCTTTAGAGATGAGCAATTTAGCTGGCATCATTACTTACAAAAAGGTCTTGAACTTGGATGGAGTTTGTGTTGAGAAATAGTTTGTACTTTTAATTTTTAATCTTTTAAATCCATTTTTTTTTTCCACAAATCTTTGAAGTCCCTTTATATTTTTTTAGCCTTCTGGGTGTTTTTGCTATGTGTATTTGTTTGTTTAAAACTTGATGTCACTGTTTCTTACATTGGCTACGTAGTGTTCATTACAGAAGTCAGTTTCATTTTACTTGTTGCCTCTGATCACACGCTGGGTTGTTTTCCATTTTATCTGCTCCAGATCGTGCCTGAGCCAGCGTCTGGTGTGCAGTTTGTTGGGTGGGGGTGCTGTGGTTTCATTTCAGAAGATCAGAGAAATGTCATCAACTACTTTTTTTTCTGTGTTTTTCTTGGCGCCAGGATTTTTAGATCAGGGAAGTAGTATATGTGACTTCACAGAATGATGTTAGCAATGTGGAAGATGATCTATGTAGGATTTTCATTTATGAAGTAAATGCAGTATAAGCTAGATTATACTTTGGATGAACTCAGAGGTTGAACAAACGTAACCAAAAGAGACTAAATGATTCCTTCTACCCAGGTTAGGGAGAGGGTGAGATGGGCATTGAACAACTCTGGTTGGATTATATTCTCTGGACTTTCTGAGGAACCAAAGTGGTGGGGGTAGGGAACCTGAATGTGGAGTATTCTTTATAGTCGGGGGAGCTGCACCATGAACCTGTGTGAGTAGCAGAAGGATTGGTCTTGCCTTTGAAGATGGAATTAGGACGTCAGTGGGAACCTCCTTCCTCCACTCAGACTTGTGTCCACCTACCTGATCAAAGCTTACGGTGTCTCACAGGTGTCCCACCCCCAGCTTCCTTTCCCTTCCCTTCCCATAGCCGTCTGGGCCTGAGGCCTGTCATCACCACTCATCCTAACAGACAGAGAGCAGGGTGGACTCAGGTGGCCACATCGGGAGCTTGAACATCTCCCCCTCCCTACTGGCTTCCCTGCCTCTTGTCTTCCACCCTTTTTTCCTCCATCACTTAGTGCTTCAGCCATGTGGTTCCCTCTCGTGCCACCTGCAGTCTGTCCAGACATCATGGTCTTCCCAAGGCCATATGAGCACCCATCACTTCCTGGACCCTGTATTATTCTAGGGCACACCTTGTTTCTGACACAGACTGGTGCCGGCTTATGTCTAGGGCCACATGATTCCACTCTATTACCCCTGCAACAGAAAGGCCAGTCAGGGGCAGGGGATTCTGGGTGCAGGTGATGTAGACCAGGGGCATAAGTGAGTGCTGGTTTTCTCTCAGGACAGCCAGAGAGATAGCAGCCACCAGCACCCACTTGGGAAGGAGACATGCAGGTGCCTGCTGTATCTACTCGGTGGTTTGGAGGGTCTGTAGTTTGAAGGGTCTGCAGCTTGGCAGTTCCTCGGGCTCAGGTCAGCCTGTCGGGAGTCAGTTTCATATGACATGGCAGTGTGTTACATGTGGTGTCTGCATGCCTGGAGCTGGGCTGGGCCAGACTGGACTGGCTGTGAAGTCTGATCTGTGGACCTGAGTGCTGCTTCTGCTCTTTGGGAACATTGTGCTGGGGAGTCACTGCAGATCAGGGAAGGGCTGCAGGCAAGAAGACTGGACCATCTATTGATCCCTTGGACCTTACAGAGCGGAAGCATCTGGAGGCAATCAGTGTGAGGTCTGGGTTCATTGTCACTGGGGATCACCTTCAAAGCTCAGGACAGGTGCAGTTTGCAAATGGGATTCTGTGAGGTGCACTATGTCCTGTCCCCAAGGAGAGTGTGCTGAGTGACTCTGCTCTTATTGCCCCAGTGTGCCCCACCTAGTACTGTCCTGAGCCCTCTGAGACCTCCACCCATTGGGCTACTCTGGGTGAGCAGCTTATTTCTTACATCAGTTCTGCCAAAAAGACTGTTGGCTCACATTCTTAAATATGAAAATGCAAACTTAAACATGCCAACAAAACATGTTGTTTTTCAGACATGCAAGAAAGCACTTCAGTCAGGCTGAAGGGAGCCAGCTAGACGAAGTCCGTCAAGTCATGGGGATGCTGGCCTTCCCGCCAGACACACACATCTCCCCGTACAAGGTAATGTCGCCTCACTGTCACACCAGGTTCCTGCTAAGTCGAGATGTCGTTGGGTTGAGCAGGGATGTGTTTGCAGCTCTTGAGGTCTTGTCTGTAAACACTTCCACGCAAGGAGCTGACACCCCTGTTCAGCCTGCCAAGTTGGTCTTTTCCTGTTTTATCCCATTTTGCTGGTGAGAACTTTGTACCGTAAAGATTCAGGAAGCCTTTCAGCCTAGAAGTTTGGCCCTGGAGTGTCCCTTCACTTACTTTCTTCCCCATTTCCCCTTTGTTTTCTCTCCCTTTCTGCAGTCTTTTAGTCAGAAGTTACACCGGAGTGCTCTGTGATTCTCTTACTGATGTTGTCTGTCTTTTATCTGTAAATGTTGGAGCCTCTGAATCTCCATGGTCACTAACAGGGGTCATGGTGGTAGTGTTTCGTCCTGTAGTTGTTCATGATTCTGGGCACCATTTTTCCTGCTTATCTGTCCCTTCCCCTGCTGAGGGCCCCCTGCTATCTGGCCTTGTGGATTGATACAGGTCTCTGGGCAGGATGTGGTCATGAACCATCACTAACCAGGAACCCAGTACTCTGACCCTAGCACAACCAAGTGACCCAGCAGCTTCCACGCCTCTCACCTGAAGTGCCACGAGAGCCATGTATGCACCCATGTGCTCATCTTGCTGGCATCAGTTTCAGTTCCTGGGGCAAAAAATAAAGTGCAAATCCTTGCTCAAGTTGTTTACAAGGTTTCTTCTTTGAGCCTTGAACCTGGTCTCTGTCAAAGAACAGAGTGTTTTATTCTGCAGCCCCTGGGCACACCCAGCCTCACTACTTTCCAAAAGGCTAATGTCTATCTTTTTGAGTTTTTAACCTAAGGTGTTTTTTTTTTAATAATTATTTAATTTTATTTATTTATTTATATTAATTTGACCAGAGAGACACAGAGAGAGAGAAGGAAAGTGAGAAAGCCCGGTGCTAATGCTGATCCACCATGTCTGGGACTCAAACTGTGGTCAGCCATATGGGAGTGTCCAGTGCCTCAACCACCACGCCACCTGCTGGTCCCAAACCTAAGGTATTTTAAGGACAGACATTAACCAAATTTAACTTACTGTTTTGTGATGCTTTACTCAAGGTAGAATTGATTTTTTCCATTTAACAAATTATTTCTCTGAAGTAAGACTTTGCCATTGAAACATAAATCCTTTGAAGCTCAGCCTGTGCCAAGCTATCCTTCTAGCCCAGTCAGGCCTTTTCTTGTCACAAGGCCACAGGATCCGGGTCATTGTAGTTGATTCTTGAGGAGGCAGATGTTCCAGAAAGTTAAGTAAGAAAACGGTCCAGCAATGGATTTTTTTTTCCTTAATTGTCAGAGGGCATGTGTGTTTGTCAGAGACAGAGAGAAAGGGAGACAACACCCCCCATAAAGGGGCATAGTCACACTGCAATCCCTTCTCCCTTTCTCCATCCTATTGGGATTTTGGGGGATGTGTGCACACACATGACTGATGTGCTTTTTAAGCTGCCAGGGCTGGGGTTCAAACCACAGTCAGCTGTGAGGGATCTAAGTCCCTTAACCACTTAGACCCACAAGGCCAACTCCAGCAGTAGATATTAAATTAAGGCTCAAGGGAGTTGCTTCTGTGCTCAGAAGTGTGTGGGTTTGTGAAGCCTGCCCCAGCCCCAGCCCACTCTTTACAGTTTTCCTCCTGGCTCTCCCGGGGGCGGCCTGGGAGGATCCCCAGCACTCTCTACCCTGTCTCTTTTCAGGACCTCCTGGACCCAGCCCGGTGGCGGATGCTGATCCAACAGTTCCGGTATGACAACTACAGACTGCACCAGCTGGGAAACAACTCTGTGTTCACGCTCACCCTACAGGCTGGCCTCTCGGCAATCAAGACACCGTATCCCCTGTGGCATTTTCCTATACTGACTCTGCTCCTTACCACTCTTGTCCTTGTCGTGAAAGCTGGTGCTCTCTCCCATTGCTCTCACCTCATGTTGCCCTGTGTCGAGACAGTCTGGAGGATGACTGGTTGCGTCTTCACGGGCCTGTGAAAACCTAGATTGCTCATCTCCATCTCAAGGTCTTAAATCAACTTTATGTTGATCTGAAAGCAAGTGTTTGCATGTTTTCTAGCAGCTGGGACATTAACCATCCAGAATAGCTTTCCCAAGAATCTGATTTCCAAGAATCCTATGATGTAGATTCTCTCAAATCCATTTGACCCTGTGCTATCGCAGCCAAGGCACATTTTCTCATGTTAGTTCATGATATGGTAGTTGTGCCTCTGGCAGAGAGAGCTGTGACACTCTGACCTCACCACCTGAGGGCCCCTCTTTGTCTGCATTTGGCAGATTCCTGTCAAGGGCATCCATGGTCCTTTCAAATCCATTGAAAGGCAATGACCCTTAGTTTCTGCCCATCGCACCTGGCTGTCAGCCTCCTAGTCATCCAGCAGCGCTGTCACCCAGACAGAGCACCTTTGTCGGACCCTGTGTACAATGGGTTGCAGATCCTGTGGAGGAGGAATCAGTTCTTCCTGTGACCTGACTCACTCTCTGCCTGTGAGTGAATGATCCTGTCCCCGCATGTGGCAGAGATTAAATCCAGGTGGTAGAGTGTGTCCTGGGACCACTGTGGGCCCTGGCTGTGTTGGCTTTGAATTGAGGCTCAAGCCCCCCATTCTTACCAGTCTGTCGAACGCAGTGGAGAGAAGGAGCTACTTGTTTGCCTGTTGCCTTCTCTGAGGTTCCACCAGAAGTCTTCAGTCTCAAGGGTGTTACCTGTCCTGCCTTGAGAGGTTGTGGGGTGGGGAAGTAAGGACAGAGGGAGGATGAGCTGGGTGGGGTTCCTGTGGTCCTGGTGCAGGCGGTGCCCTGGGGATAGAAGCTGCTCTGGCTTTCTTGTCTCCAGTGAGGCTACTTTTTTCTTAATGTAGTGTTATCCTTTCTTTGAAAGATAGCCATTTGTTTTCTCCTTGGTGTCCCTGTGGTCAGGAGGGCACAGTGCCTGGCCACAATGTGCCTTGTGTCACCACTCTCTCCCCAGCTTCCCCTCAACCTTCCTTAACCCAATGCACAGACAGTGCTACAAGGAGGATGGCAGCTCCAAGAGCCCTGACTGCCCTGTGTGCAGCCGCTCCCTGAACAAGCTGGCGCAGCCCCTGCCCATGGCTCACTGTGCCAACTCCCGCCTGGTCTGCAAGATCTCTGGCGATGTTATGAACGAGAACAACCCACCCATGATGCTGCCCAACGGCTACGTCTACGGCTACAACGTGAGGGGGCCAGGAGTGGGAGGGGCAAGAATGGCATGATCGGGACCAGGCACCTGGGCAGGGCTACCCTTCTCCCCATCTGTTCTAGTGCATGACTCTTGACTGTCTTTTGACAATGGCTAAGGGGGAATGAGCAACCCCAGTATTTCTTTACCAGATGTATCTTCAGGAAATAACTTTGTAAGATAAGATGGCATATTTCTTGATAAATTCATTTTATGAGGTTTTAATGGAAATCCTAACTTGTATTTGCTTATTAATGCATTTCTGGTCTTTTTTTCAGTCTCTGCTTTCTATCCGTCAAGATGATAAAGTTGTTTGCCCAAGAACCAAAGAAGTCTTCCACTTCTCACAAGCCGAGAAAGTGTACATCATGTAGGCCCTGTGTCGCCAAGCGCATGCCTCGGAGGCCAGGGGACTGCGGCAGGCAGGGAGGCCACTGCGCCCTCCTGCCCCCCGCTCTAGCCTGCCGTGGTGTTTCTGTTTCTTGCGACCAAAGATCAGTGAGCAACGACAAATACTCTTAGGGAGAGAGGAAATAAGATTTAATAAGTTTGTACTTGAAAACAACATTTTGATTGGTAGGATTTTGTAACATAAGTCAACTATTTGATGATTCTGAAAAGTACTTTCACCTCTCAAAGGAAACTTTTCTTTAAAGACTGATCTAAACACGGAGAGAAACTTTAGAACGTTTCAAAACTAGGAATTGACTTCCCCGTGTTTCTCACAATTTCCTCCCTTTTGCTAATGACAAGACGTGGAAAACGGGCTGGTGTTTCACTGACTCGCATAAGCCTTGGCCACAGCCTGGAGGAAGTGGTGGCTGCACCAGACTGACCTGCAGTGACTCCTGATGCAGTGCCATGAGGGACATTCATGACTTCATTCTAGAGCTGCTGCCAAAATGCCCGGTGCCACAGCCCATGGGGGGGCTGGCCTTGAGGGCTGCCCTGCCTGCCTTGTGGGCAACGTCTGTCAGACTGTGTTAGTATGTGCATAGGTTCGATGTCCCATCTTTCGTGTGCCGCCTTATTTCCTGCTTTGAGAATGTATTCACGTGGAAATCCACTGGACCGAGTTTCTGCAGAGGCCTTGCCGGATGGTTCCATAACTTTAGAGTCTAAATACTATTCATTACAGAAACTAATAGTTCAGTTGAATTAAATACTGATGACTTTTCAAACAAATGAACCATTGTAGTTTACACAAAACCATATTGTAGAGGTTTGTATTTAGCGCTTATTTTTGCATGTTGATGTTGATTAGTTAATAAACTGTAAATGTAAGAAATGTTAATAAAATGGTTTTCTATTTCTTATTTGTGTGTGAGGCAGAAACTGCTCTGCTTTTCTAACACCTGTTGGGTTGTGCTCTGCTCTTCCCTGCAGCAGGAAAGGGAGGCTCACCCCACACAGGGCCTGATTTGCTGTGTGTGCTACAGCCATAAAGGGGGCTCAGCACAACTGGAGACCCACCCACAAACTTCACAGGAGTTTGGGGCCGGGCATAGAGTCCTGAGGTAGCATCTTGCTCCTGCCAACCTGGCCAGTACCATTTTGGGAGTAGAACCACATTGATAGACCAACTTGGATTCCTGTCGACCCCCTTCCTGGTTCCTGGGACCTGTGGCTGCTATCTGCTATGGCTTTTGCTACTCCCCCCTACCCATACATACACACACACACAGTACTCTCTAGGGTCCATCCTAGCTCCCTTCCTATTACTACCTCCCTGACAGCTGCCCTGGCCACTTTATGCCCACCATGCCACTGGACCCCAGATACAAGTGCCCACCCAGGTCAGGCCTCAGTTGAAGCAGACACCTGTAGTGCCCACTCTGGATTGCTGCCTCAAGTTCTGCTTTGGGGTCTCATGGTGACTTGCATAATATGTGCTGGCCACACCTCTGCACTTTGACAGGGTTGTGACTTGGCATGTGTGCCTCCATCCCCAAGCCTGGTGGGGCAGAGTTGGGGCTAGAGGGATGCAGTGGAATAACGTTAGCTGTTCCCTGCTGTATCCTCTACTGTACCCAGAACCCAAATGAGCTACCCTAAGCCAGCTCCATACTCTGTACCCTGTACTCCTGAGAGATGCTGGAGTAGCTCTGGGGCACTGCAGCCTATTCCAAACAACAGTCTTCTCTGGCCTTGCCTCCTGCTTACCCTCTCTCTCTCTCTCATTGAAGTATAATGTAATGAAGTGCACACAGTCCAAGTGTTCCCATAATTAATTTCTACATTATGCCCTCATGTGACCACCTCCCAGACTGTTCCGTCTTCACAGAGGAATCCCCAGGTCCTCCCCGTCAATATTCTAGTATCTGTCATTAATCATCAGAGAGTAGCTCAACCAGTTCTTGAACATGAGGAGTCACACAGCATGGTTTTCTGTGGACCAGCTTCATGCTTGGGCAGTTCTTTCCTGATGTAGCAATATAGTTCATTCCATTATGGTTGCAGCAGTCCATTGGAGGAATGAGCACAGTGACTTACCCCTTCTACATGTGGGTGGACATCTGGGTTACTACCAGATTGAAGTTGCCATCTATGAATGCTCTGACACGTGACTTTTGCTGGATGCACACTCTGTGGGAAAATACCAAGCAGTGACATTGCCGGGGTACATGTTTAACCTGAGCAGATGGAGACAGCTTGCCAGCGTTAGCACCAGCTTCTGCCTATCTCAGTGGATCAAAGTTCTGCCTGCTCCATATCCTCATCAGCACATGGCACTGGAAGTCTTTATCCTTAGATATTTCTGTTGGTTGTGAGAATGATCTCACTGTGGTTTTCTTTTTTGAGGTAAAAATTAACACTAAAATGTACACATCTTTTATATATACCTGACAAGTAAATATCATCCAAGCCCAGGTGTAGGACATTACCATGGCCAGAAAGTGTGTCACACCTTTTTATCTCTAGGCTGTCCACAACTCTTACATGTAGTCATTGCTCTGATTTTATCACTACAGGTTAGTTGTATCTTCATGTAAATTGAATCATAGAGTATGTACTTTTGTGTCTGGCTTGTTTTACTCAGATGCTTTTGAGATTCATCTGTGTTGCTGTGTGAATATCAGTTGTCCCTATTTGGTGTATTACTTAGTAGTTGCAGTAGTACTATGTTGACATATTTCACAATTTGTTTATTATTTTCTTGGGACTCGTGTCTTTTGGCTATTATGAATAAAGCTGCTGTGAACATTTGTGTGCACATCTCTTTGTGGACATTATTTTTCTTTCTTTTGTAAGTAGAATATTACTAAGTCATGATGTTGCTGCATTGTTTATAACTACCAAAAATGTTTTCAATGTGGCAATACCATTTTAAACTCCCCTTAGTGTATGAGGGTTCCAGTTGCTCCAGATCTTTGTCAACGTTTGGTGTTGTCATTCTTTTTCATGTTAGCCAGTTGGGCATGTAACAATGTCTTACTGTGGTTTTAATTTGCTTTTCTCCAATACTAATGACGTTGAGAGCTCCTTCTGATATGCTGATTGGTTTTTCTTATGTCTTCAAGGTTTTGCCCATTTTTAATTATATTATTGGTTTGTAGGAATTCTTTACATATACTGGCTCTATCTCCTTTGTCAGATGTATGTATACACTTTGATAATGTCATTTGATCAGCAGAGGTTTTAATTTTAGTGAAGTTCTTTCTTTCATGGTTAATGCTTTTTTATGTTCTGAAAAATATTTGTCTATTCCAGGGCCACAATATTCTAAATCTTCTAGAACATTTAGTTTATCCATTCTTGTTTAGGTTTAGGTCTTTGACTTTTATGTTAGGTCTATAATGCATCTCAAATTGACTTCTGTGTGTGGCATGAGAAAGAGTTTGAGGATTATTTCCCATTCCTGTCTCATGTGTTTCAAAACAATTGTTTCTCTCCCCCATTGACTACTGCTGGCTACTTAAAAAAAAAAAAAAAAAAAAAAAAGATTTCCTGATGATAAGTTTGAGTCTGTGTCTGTATGCTCACTTATGTTTAATTGACCTTTAGGTCTGTCCTTCCTTACACCAATACCACATTCTTGATTACTGTCATTTTAAAGCAAATCTTGAAACCAAGTAGTTTAAGTCCTCCAGTTTGTTTTACTTAAAAAAAAGATTGTCTTGGCTATTCAAGGTCTTTTGTATTTCCACATAAATTGCAGAATCAGGTTGTGAGTGATCAGTGTCTACTGAAGTTTTTTAAAATGCCTCCTGGAATTTTAGTTGAAATCACACTGATATGGTAGATCAATTTAGGGAATGAATAAGTTTATTTGGGCTTCCATAACAATACCACTGGCTGGGTTACTTACACAGAGATTTACTTCCTTTCATTCTAGAGGAGGTGCTGTCAAGTTTGAATCCTGATAAAACCTCTCTTCTTGGCCTGCAAATGGCTAACTTCTTACTGTGTTCTCATACGGTGTTTCCTCTGTGAATGTACAGAGATAGAGCAATCTCTACTGTCTCTTCCTCTTTTTATTTAGCTATTTATTTTGCTAAAGAGAATCACCAAAGAGACAGTGAGAGGAGAGGGAGAAAGCCCCTGCAATGAGGTGATCACACTGCAATTCTCCAGTTTTCCATCCTATTGGGATTTTGAGCATGCACTTGTACACACCTGTCATATTTTTCAGGCCAGGATTCAAACTACAGTCAGCCATGTGGGCCCTAGCTCCCTTACCCACTAGGCCATAGGGTTGGCCCCCTTCCTCTTTTTATAAGGACACCAGTCCTGTCAGACTAGGGCTTTAGATTAGGGCTCCATCCTTATAACCCTCATTTAACCTTAACTACCTCCTGGAAGGCCCCACTTCCTAATATAGTCATACTGAGAATTAGGGCTCCAACATAGGAATTTTTAGTGGACACCATTCAGTTCATAGCAGGGACTTAGAAATCTTAATAATCGGGTTTGGCAGGTGGTGTGGTGGTTAAGGGCACCAGACTCCCACATGGCTGATTATGGTTTGAGTCTCAGACCTGGCAGCTTGCTTTCTCACCCACCACCCCCCGGCCCCTTCCCCGTCCCTCTTTGGTCAATTTAAAAATAAGTAAAGTTTAAAAAAAGAAATCTTAATTTATTGTCTAACCCATTAATACTGTATCTCATTAGATTTAGATGTTTCATCTAAGTTTTATAGTTTTAAGTGTATATATTTGCACTTATTTTGTTAATTTAAGTATTTGATGATTTTTAATGCTATTGTAAATATATTTTCAAAGTTTAATCTTCCAATTATTCACTGGTGATATGTAGATATATACAGAGGGTCTTCAAAAAGTTCATGGGAAATACATCTGAAAAATTATATATGGGTTTTAAGGTTTTTTTTCCACCAAAGTAAACTCATATTTTAGTACCATTTTCTATGAACTTTTTGAATGAAATCCCTTGTATAATTGATTTTTGTATATTGATCTTGTACATATCATGACCATACTAAATCATTCATATATTCTAGTAGGCTTTTGGTAAATTTTAAAGGATTTTCTGTGTGCACAATGATATCATCTGTAAATAAATATAGCTTTGCTTCTTTTCTACTCTTTATGCTTTTCATTTGTTTTTTCTTTTATTGTACTAAATTGAGCCACTAGTACAATGTTAAATACGAGGTGTGACAATGGACATGCTTACCTTGCTTCCAGTCTTAGGTGGAAAGCATTAGGTCTTTTATAGCTAAGTATGATGTTGGTCACAAGTATTTTGCAGATGTCTTTTATATTGAGAAAAGTTCTACTCAAATTTTCTAAGAGTTATTATTATGAATGGATGTCATCAAATTTCTTCATATAATATTATTATATGATTTTCCTTTTCTGTTTATATGGAGACTTACATGGATTGTTTTTGAATTGTAAAATGTACATTGATAAATCTCATCTAGTATTTCATTGTATTTCTTATATATTGCTGGATTTGACTTGCTAGTACTTTTCTAGGGGTGCTTTGCAACGATGTTCATGATAGTTATTGCTCTGTGGTCTTAAAAGGTTTTGTCTGGTTTTAGTATCAAGATTCATAAATTAGGCTGGAGTGTGGTCCTTCCTGCAGTATTTTCTGCAAGAGTTTGTGAAAATTGGTGATTTCTTTTTCTTTCAGTGTTTGGTAGAATTTACCAGTGAAATAATTTGGGTTTGGACTTTTCTTTGGGGGAAGGTTTCTAATTATTCACTTTAATACAGTTATTAAAGTTATTAAAGCTACAGTTGCTTTAGGGCCAGCAGATGGCATGGTGGTTAAGGGCTCTGGACTCCCACATGGCTGACCACAGTTGAGTCTTGGACCTGGTAGTTTGCTTTCTCAATTTCCTTCTCTCTCTCTCACTCTGTCCCTCTCTGGCCAAATTCAATAAATAAAGTTAAATAAAAAAATTATTTTTTAAAAAAGCTACAGTTGCTTTAATAGTCCTTAATCAGGTTTTTAAAAATTTGTTTTGATAATTTTGCCATTAAAGAACTTGTCCATTTCGGGATGAGCAGTTGGCGTAATGGTTATGTTGATAGACTCCCAGGTTGTAGTCGACCAGGTTCAAGTCCCGGACCCAGTGGCTTGAACTCATGCCTGGCGCGTGTGCATGAGTGCCCAAGATCCAGTGAGGAGAATGGAGGAGAAGGGATTGCAGCATGGCCATCCCCCAAGGGGGCTGATTTCTCGCTTTCTGTCTCTTTCTTTCTGGCAAGTGCATGTGCCCGATAGCAAAAACCTTCCCCCCCACCCCACCAAAAAAAAAAAAAAAACAAAGAACTTGTCCATTTCATCTAAGTTATCCATTTCATAGAATTCGTTGATATAAAGTTGTCCAAACACACCCTATTTTTTTCTTATGTCTATAGAATCTATAGTAATTGGCCTGCCCTATGGCCTGGTGCTTAAGAGAACCAGATCCCTTATGGCTAACCCAACAGGTCCTGGTCACACCACAGTCCTCTTTCCTCTCTACCCAGTCAGGATCCTGGGCACATGTGTGTACTCTACATGTGTTTTCAAGCTGAAAGAGCTGGATTCAAACCCTGGTTGGTCCTTTGGAAGCTGGCTTCCTCTAAGCTGCACATATGTGTTGTGCTATAGGACCAGCCCAGTCTCTTGTCTTTTCACTGGTGTGTTTGGACCATTGATATGTAATTGTTGTTGGATTTAAATCTGTCATCTTGCTTGCTCCTTGTTTTCTGTTTGTCCCATCTGTTCTTTGTTCCTTTTTTCATCTTTACCTGCCTTCTTTTGGATTGAGTATTTTTAAATGACTATTTTATCTTTGAGGGCTTATTAGTTATACCTCCTTTGTTTATGGTTGCTCTAAGGATGATACTTTAACTTATCAGTGTCCCTTCAAATAATACCATTGCCTGTAAAAATAGAACCTTAGAATATATGCTACCATTTCTCCCCTCTGCTGGACTACTATTGTCATAATTTTTGTTCCTCCGTAGGTGTTATATGCCCTTCAATACATTGTTATATTTTATTTAAGCAGTCAATGATCTATAAAAGAACTCTGAAATAAAATATATTTACCCACATTTAAAAAATCACTTATAAAACTCTTTGTTCCTTTTATAGATCAAAGTTTGCATCTGGTATCATTTTCCTTTCATCTGAATGACTTCCTATATAGCATTTCCTGTACTGCAAATCTGCTAGTCATGAATTCACTCAGCTTTTATTTAACTGAAAATGTTTTTATATCACCTTCGCTTTTTTTCTGGGGGGGAGGGGTAGGGGCTGCA